ATATGCACTCCGATACAATGGGCACCAATGAATCAATTTTAAAAACAATGAAAAGTAAGTTTTCAAGACATAGCTTACTGAACATGTATCGTCAGGCCTACTTTAATGCCAGGAGCACACATCTTCATCCTTATCTCAACAGCACGTGTCCCATGCTAAGGCCACGCCAAGGCCCGACCCGACGACCTGCACGTTGTTCTTTGGGTTCCCTCTCGCTCGCACCCGCATCGTGAAAAACGCCAGCTAAAGCGTTCCAGAAATGGCAACAACGCTACGCACGCGTTGTCGTGTTGAACGGATGCACACGAACTTCCTCGCACAGGCGCCGACTCCGTCAGCCTGCGTGGGTAGGCAACAACCCACGACCGATGCGCAGCCCGGCGCAAGTATTGCCTACGCAGCCAGGGGCTTCGGGACCACGGAGCTCGGAAGGATGGGGGGGGAGCTTCGGCCGCTGTCAGTGCGTCGGCCCAGCCCGAGCCGGCCGGTGGCAGCAGCGGGCCCACCGGACCCGCCGACTGTGTCAATTTACAAGATGCTTTGTTATTTACGATTGACAAAACGATGCTGATAATTCACGATCGGTATCGAACATTTAAGACAGAACGTCATTGTTCATCGAAGGATTTTCAAATTTGTACGGTGTAAAGAATTTCGTAATTTTGCTATTTATTTGCAAACGTAAACTTGACAACATTCCTCATGGAGAAAACCGACAAACATTTTTCACAGTGCCCGCTGACACCGGGCCTGCGGGAGGGGGGCTAATTTAGTCCGCGCGGTGGCGGGGCCGGGCCGGGCGGGGCGGCGCGTGTGTTGTCCACCGCGAGAAGCTGAAGGGGCCCTTCACAAACCGCGTGCGGGCGCTCGTCGGGCGGTAACCCCCCCCTCCCCCTCGGGGACCATGACAAAGGGGGAAATCCTTTAATGCTAATAATGCTTAAGGTTGCGTGCACATCAGCAAGTAGATACTTCCCGCGCGCGCATCTTCATCATTTTGTAATAAAAAGCTAAAAAGATGCCTGATAATCCGCTCAAAACCAAACTTTACGCCCTCTACTACGGAGGTTGTCAGCGCTCCCCAAGCGCCCCATCATCAGGTCCCGACCATCGTCGCTCGAGACACGCCTAATTCCCCCGCGCTGATGCGCGTTGAGCGTTTTGTGGGCCGGCCCCCTACTGCCCCCTTCTCCGCATGCTGCATCCGCACGGTAGCCGTGCTCCCGACCGCAGGCCAGGCCGGCCCGGCGGGTCGCGAGGAACATGGCCTGCCAAGAGTGCGTGCGTGCAAAAGAGATGCAAGACTCGGCGTGTCGTCGCGCGCCTCTGTCCTATGGTCTTTGGCCGTCTCTCTCTCTCTGTCCCTCCCCTTCCAACTCGCACTCGCGCGGGCGCGCCGACCTGAGCCCGGCTCAGCTCGGATCCGAGGGACATGACACGTGTGCCGAGCTCATCACGAGGGGCCGGCCACAAAGCACGTGAGGGCTACCACCCCGATTGTTGATTTAATTTTGATAGAAAGTCTGTCGCAAATGGCCCTTGCAATAAATTTTTAAAAAACTTAACTACAACACTGTTAGAAAAATCAATGGAATTTCAACAAAGAATAAGAAGTCACGAGTTATATTACCAAAGTCCCTTGAGATTTTCCTACGGCCTCCGCGTAGAACTTAATGAAACATCCGCAGATAACGCGCGACCAAATGTTGACTATTTTAAATGTCTAATTATTCTTGTAAGCATGTGGGGCGACCCATAAGGCATCTTCTTAAAATCGCTCTTTAAAAATTAAAACCACTTAAAAAACCATAGAAAACAAAGGTTTCTGGGGATTCCCAAGACGGGGTTGTGAGTGAATCTTAGTAAAATCCCATCAATTTCTTAACAGTGAACAAAACCCTAACGAAAAAAGACAAACATTAAAGGATAAGAAAAATTAAATGAGTGGTGATTGAAACTTACCTCATAATGACGGTCTCTCCCGCCACTGTCCTTGGTTCCCTGCTGATGCTGAGCCGAGACCATGCTGTCGGTCTGCTACGATGACTTCAAGTTCACCATCTTGACCACCACTTTCACCATATCATCGGTCGCTACCACTTTGTCACCATATTTTGTTGACCATGCGTGTCACAAAATCTCATGAAACTTAGTCTTTAATGTAATCTGTTTGAGAAGAGGTGAAAGTTACTCATTGAGAATTCGATGCAGAAAATACTCAGTTGCAACAGAATCAAGTGTGAGTGCAGATTAAATTTTTCCGCTATCTGCTATCATCAGTTTCCAATTCCATGACCAACAACAGCCAGGCCTTCAGAGTGGCGTCACACCCATTCGATGGAATATTCTAAAAATACCACCCAAGTTTGGAAATGCCAACAGGCCGCGCAAAGCGGATCTTTTTTTTTACCAAATACGGACGAATAGGCCGAGCTGGACACGGACTCGGGGGCGGCGGGGGGATCTATCTGCTCCTAACGGACGGATAGCGCGGGGAGTAAGAGGGGGAAACGGGGAGGGGGGGAGTATATGATACAAGCAGATGCGGTCGCTCCCCCTCCTTCCGCCCTCCTGCAGGACGTAGGACATCTTCCGTCAGGCGTTTGGGACCCACACAGCAGCGGCGGCGGCGAGCATTGCCCCGGTCCGGTCCGCACAAAGCACGGCTCTGTAATGTGAGTGGGTGCTGCACTGCTACAAAGCAGTCACCCCCCCCCCCTCCTACTCAATCTATCTCGCTTGCTCTCTTTTACTCTCTCTCTCCCTCACACACTCTTCTTCTACTCCCTCGCTCTCTTCCTCTGGACCACTCCTCCGCGTTATCACCGTGTTACTTGCGACATCACGCTCGCGCCGACGCTTCCTCCTACTTTACGATCCGCCTTATTATTATTGTAACAAGAATGCGAACTCCAGGCCCGTTATACTCGGCAGTTCAGTTACACATGGGAGAACGTCTCTCTCTACGAGCGTTGTCTTGCTCGAGAAGGGTAGGCATCTAATTGGCTGGCAAGGAAAGGGTATACACTAGCCGGATATGGGCTTCAAATCTGTGAACTTCAATCAAAACTTGCTACTTTAAGCAAAATCTGTAAATTTCAGATTGAACATTACCCAAAGTTCATTGGCATGCGCGCGACTTTGCCGTTGAGTTCAGTCAACTTGAATAAAAACAATTTATGCTGTGTTCTTTTCGGTACTTTTTCCGTTCCCTTGAGCAAAACGTAAATTTCATCCCCCTCTTACAAAAAAGCATAAACGGCGAGTCGAACAAGAGCGCGGGTGACCACCCGAGGGCTACGCGGAGCCACACGACACCTCACACTCACACCTCATGTGGCATCGCGGCGGCGCTGCAGAAGAGCTAATTGTCGACGACGGGGTAGGGGGTTGGGCGTGGTGGGGTAGGGCGTGGTGGGGCGGGGCGGGGTGGGGCGGGACAGCCCCCAGCACAGCAGGGCGCCCCGCCCCGCCGCCGTTCTGCAGTAATGACCCGCAGAGTGCACGTGGACGTGGACCGCCGCACGAGATAAGGTCGGCGGGAGGCGGGGGTTCGTTTGAAACGGTTTTGAAACAATTACAACGAGAGTAAAGTAAAAAGACGAAACAAAAAAAGGCGTCTGGCCCCCACCGCTGTCATCGCGGCCGACTTCCCCGTCAAAATAAACGAGTCTTGTCGTCCTGACCAAAATGAGTGAGAGAGTTGCGGACCTACTGATGAAAGCTGACGACGAATTTCGCCGAAAACTAAAGCAATGTCGAGTTACGGTGATGCGACCATGTTCACCGCGTAGCTTAAAGCAACATTGACCGTAACTTAACTGCTACAGGGTTCACTGTAACTAACTGTCAAATTCCCCGTAAGCTTTTCACAGTGTGCGGAGTCGCCTTGAAGTGGCAAATATCGGTGGGATTCAAAATCCCACAGACTCCAGAAACTGTCATTATAATCCCCCCAAACAGTTTATCGTCTGTGTTTTACAACTTTCTTTCCGAGCAAAAGTCTAGAATAATATTTTTACATCTTCCCGCAGAGTGCGACTCATCTACATATCATTCGATTCAGACTGGTCCCTGATTGGGCTGAGCAGGAACAATACAGGCGAGCGCGTATAGGAGGGACCCACGTATACGAGGCCCGGGCCATAAGTTACGCGCGAGAACCGGAGGAAGCCATCGCTCCGCTGCACCACACAGTCACACACACACACACACACAGTCGCGCCGGGCGTGGTGCCTGCATGGTTGGCCTCCGCCCCCGCCACGCCCCGCCCTGCTCTCCATGAGCCAGCCCGAACGATACGACGGTCCGAGCGGCGGCAGCCGGTCGCGTCCGTCTCCGAAGACGTCTCTGAAGAGGCAGGCAGACTAATCTAATAATCGCAGACTCGAATGCGAGCCTCGGAGGGACGCGACGGGATTCAGACTCGACAATGATGACGGTGATGAGGGCGGGGGAGCGGGGGACGCGCCGTGCCGCCTGCACCGCCATCCCGCTGACCCGCTCTCATGACTCGGTATGAAACGTCGTCAAAGAATAATGGAGTCAGTCCACCACTTTAATTTTCCAGCTTCTCATCTCCCTGATAAATTTAACGCTAAGCCAGTAAGAGAGCTTACTCCTCGCATGTCCGAATCTAACCTGGTAGATTAAGCCACTCACATCGATTTTATGGGCATGACACCACTTTAAGACCACCTTTGTTGTTTGGCTAGTACTAGGCTTTGGGTTAACATGTTCAGGGCCAGGCAATTTTTAAACCACGAAATTCGACAACAATTAAGGATATGTCGTGTGGCACCGAACGACTAAGAAAAAGAAATAGTATATTGTTCTCTTTGTAGGGAAACTATAATGAT